GCTATACAAATAAAATTTGATTTGATTTACTGTAGTACTACAATTACAATAAACAGTTATTTTCTGTGTCATCCAGGGACTGTTTAAACCACTGCTGCGTTTTTGTAAAAACATCTCCCACACTTGTGTAGAGCAGGAAAAAACCAGCACATGAGATTTATAAGCAGCTTGTGTTCAGGCAGGTGGTTTGACAGCAAATCATTTGCCCAAAGATGTAGTAATATCACAAGTATATAATCCACTAAAATGTTATGTTTCCCAGTGCGGAGTCAATTTTTGCTATGGACTTACACTGTTAGGTCCCCAGCAGCTACTGGCCTAATTGTTCAGAACATCTCTACAGATGCTGCAAACCACAGTTGTATATCATTTTCATCACAAACAAACAAACAAATAAATAAAGTCATAAAATGAAGTCTTAAGGTGCAGTTATATAATGTATTATGGTTAAACTTCCTTTTTCTTGTTTGAAACATGAATAAAATAAGTGTGGACCTGCATCTGTAATAATAAATAAAAAAAGAATCAAATGTCCCAGTGTATTGTGTACATAAAAATGGAGGTAAAAGTTGTTACAGTTATGAGCACTTACTGTGCATTTTATAATGTCAGTGGTGTGGGACTCCACTGCTGATGGTTATTTACACTTCTGTCAGAGCGTATTGTTTGTGGTAGGAAACAATGAGCTCTGTTGAAATGAAATTTGATATTGAATTCCCTCACACCTTGACAGCAGTTCCCACCTGAGCAATTTATTGACAAAAGCAACCTGTTCAATTGCTTTATTCTACCACAAAAGGTTTCCTTCTTACAACATGCTTTTTAAAATAATAATCCATGAGAAATGAGGGATATTTTACTACAAAGTGTAATCCCAAAATCACATAATCATAAACAAGAACCTTAAAACTACAGTATGTTTGTACGCTAATCTTTAATGAAAAGTCCCAAGCACCACAACACCCACAGATAAATGGTTTAAATCACTTGATTCTTTAACTTCACAATTTCATTGGAAAAACAAGAAACCCCAAATTTTTCTATCCACACTCCAAAAGAAGAAATCACTAGGTGGCCTAGAAGCACCAAATTTCCAATATTACTACTTGGCAAATCAATATTTAGTCAAATGGATTCAGAAGGACAGTTACAACAGTGCATGAATAGAATTAGAGCAAAATTACTCCAAATATAACTCAAATAAGTCAGTTGCAGACCTTCCTTTTCTATCAACCTCTATTAAGAAAATGAATTATTGTAAGAACATCACAATCCTCTCAACTCTGACAGGCTGGTGGAAAGCAAACAAAATCATTAAATCATCACTTGCGCCTTGTAGATATACTCCAATTTGGCACAACCCTTATTTCAAACTACATAATAACCCTATCTATTTCCCAACATGGCAACACAAAGGAATCACTCACTTATATCACCTATTTGAAAATAACCAGTTCATATGATTTAATACACTGATCCAGAAGTACGGAGTTCAGAGAGAACAGTTCCTCCAGTACAGTCGACTAAAATATATAATTAAGTCAAAGATTAGTGTAACCAATAATCCACTACAACCCTCCAAATTAATTAAAGAAATTATGAAAATTACATCCTCCAAGAAAAGA